TCGGACATCTCAAATAATGGTAAAGTTGGGATAGTAGCGTTGCAGACTGCAGAGGAGAGTGGGCAGTAAGGCTCCCTCGTGCACCACCCCATGGAAAACCCGCACCCTTCCCTGCAAATAGGCTATATCCACCCCTGATAAATAATCTGTATTCCTATTTCTAGATCAAATTGAATCATCCTGCGAGAACGTTTGTGTCATTTATGTTGATTGGAAAATATTTCTGGTGTGGTAAGATAAACCAATGATTTGACTATAATAGCAAAAGTTAAAATTGGACTTTATTGTGATGTAGACTATAAAGGCTTCTCCTTAGCTACTGGCACGAATATCTGGACACGATATTCTTCTATAAGACAAATCACAGTTAATGGTTCAATTGCTCTGTTATATGAGACAAGAAAAACGCGAACACGATTTAATATGTGGGAGAATGGGTTTTGGGGGTAAAGTACTCCGGTTACACTTAAACTATGGTCTGATCCCAACGACTCATTATAGCTTATGATCATCCCGCGGGGGTGTATATAAGACCCGCTAGGAGAGACTGAATGCTCCATAGGAGCTCTGCCCGAAGGGTAGCGACCCCCTCTGACATAGACCTGAACCAAGGGGTGGTAATCCCCTTGGACAGTACCTACGATTCGACTGATTACATTCAATACATCTGAGTCTATGGGCCTGAAGTTGACCATTGGGAGCACTTTAACCCCGAAAACCAATAATATATATATATATATATTTATTTTTTTTAAATATAAAAGTAACAATTAACACCAATGTATATAATATTCTAATAATTATTTGGGGAGGCACAGTACAATTAAGTTCAGTACAAGTGTTCTCCCAGTGTATCTAATATTTCCCCGATACAGCATAGTCCTCTGTCTAGTGATCACCATGTTTTCTCATGTGGACACAGCATCCTGTTTCCATCAATAAATTCTCTTTGGATGAATGGATACCTCTGGCCAGAAGTGGTGGGTGGGTGGGATTAAAGAATTTGAGCAGCTTTTGATATATCCTATAGCTCTGCAAACTTTAAACAAAGTGATATATTCCGAGCATGCTTTGACTTTTCATTGCCTATTCTGAATTTGATTGGTCAGTTTTGGCGGTTTGAGGAAACTGTATTCTCATTGGCTGGTAGCTGTTGTATCATCACCTGTGCATGTGCATACATGTGACGAGCACGAAGTGACCTTTGAGATTTTAAAAACAAGCAGCTCCTGGCAGGCAGATGAACTTTGTACTGTCTGAGTGACAAAGCACCTTTGCACAATTTAAATGTAATAAACAACAACATATGAATATGAAAACACCAGCTTAGCAATAGGTTGCAAATGAGCATTGCTCCATTAACTTGAATTTATATAATTGTATATATAAATTGGCTTTTATGTATTATTGATAAAAAAATCTTTACAACTTCTCAATCACAAAGTCAACGACAATAACATCATTTGACCCCAACTCGTACAAATATAGAAAAATACGTCAACCTATCAAAAATCATACAAAATCCGAGCAAAATGAATATAAATAAATAAATGCTGGGGTAAATAAATTCTGTGCTTTTCTAATTTTAATCCAGGCATCAGGAGTGCTATTGTGATAGCGGACAGCGAGGGTGAAGGCGATATTAAAAACAAGCTGGAGGTCAAAGATGGCAATAATGTTCTATCTGTTGACTGTATGATCTCGTTATCGCCTAAACAGGCAAGTAGTTGTAAGAGGCAATTTTTTTCAATGTTAATTGCGTGTTTGCAATTTTCAGGTTGGTCTTCTAATGGGACTCATGTCCTGTTGACCATACCTTCAATCATTGTATAATTTTGTATGATTGTAAAGTTAATAAATAAATAAAAAAGTATCCAGAACCTAAAATCTTTTTGGCATTCCTCTCAAAATTACTTTGTTTTAGCTTTATTTTGTAGTTTACACAGTTAGCAACCTAGTATTCCAAAGGTCGTAGGTTCGATTCCCACCGTGGTCAGGCATATTTTTCAAGCCTGCCCGGTGTGGATATACACTCAGAGTAACATCACAAAATAATAGTTAAATATTGTCAATTTAAATGCAATTATCATTGACGCCATATTTATATAGCAATATAAGCAAAACTTACTGAACTAAAGACATCATTTTCTCTTTGGCGTACCATCTAAAATCTCTTCATGTTAACATAATTTTACAGATAAAGCACTAAACATATTTTTTTAAGTTTGATAAAATAAGAATCTGTTTTGAAATTCTAGCCTAAACAGGTTTTTATTTAGAGGGAGTCTGAATAAAAAAAATTTTCCTAACATGTTCTTGAATTCTAGGTTCTTATATGCGGGGTTTTACTGGCACTTGTTTTCCAACCTATGGAAAACAAGTATTCCTATGCAGTAAATAAAAAAGTTACGATAACACTTTTTAGCCCAGCGTTAAATAGTATGTACTATTTCTGTTTTACCCATCAGGTGTGGTGTGCTTGTGGTAGACAAGGAAAGATAGCGATATTCAACACGGAGACATTGACGTACACATTGCTGCCAATCAACATGAAGGAAAATAACATCGCTCTCACCAAGATGGCTCTCATGGGGAACGAGGTAAAACAATCGCACATTTACTTCCGTCGCTAATCACCCAACACAAATTAGTTATCAGTTTTGCAATCTTCATTCAAGCATGTGGAAATAATAAAGATACACATGGGTATTATATTAACGCTTAGCAGGGCTGGAGAAAATGGGGGGGGGGGACCGTCCCACCCCCCAATAATTTCAGGAAACCTTTGAATGATAGCCGAGTGACGGTGTACGAAAGCTGTGACAATTCTTTTTTGAACATGAAAGCATGCATGGTAGACTACAGATTAAGCAAACTATTATGATTACGATTAGCATTGATAATAAAATAAATGGATAGGAAACTAGCTGACGTGACCTAATATTTTCAATGGGCTGATGGCGTGGTAGGATGTCCCAACCTAGTTGCAAACCAAATTCTCAAAAACGGCATGTTTAGCAATAATACAGCTGAACATTTTAGTCAAAGATCAAATAAATATAACCACTCCATTCTACGATGAAAACTCTAAGTATTCCCAGTCAATTTTAGAAAATATTTCAAGCACTAAACACTTTCGGCAGAGCGTTGACTGACTCTTTTCACATGAGTGCGTAGCCAGAATCGAACCCACGAACTCAGAGCTGAAAGGCGATTGTTCTGATGACTCCGCCACCGAAGCCGCAGGAAATTTAGTGCAAAAAGTTTAAAAAACTACGATTTCCAGCAACAAAAGGTGGTGGTCTTTTTGAGTCAAATTTTTGGAGTGTAAAATAACAAATTGAACACGTTTATATGGCGGTAAAACAATGTTTCCGCAACAATGTTTCCTAGTTTGCCCAAGGCTTAAAATTAATATTAATCGTTATTTTTAGGTTTGGCTTGGCAACAGGAATGGTCATATCTATGCTGTGCGAGTTATAAAAGAGAAATCAATTAAGAAAATCAAAGAACTGAAAGTAAAGAAAGTACGTGGCTGTCACTATCTAGCAGTTTATAAATATTACTTATTCTTCAGAATTTCATAGTCTATCAAGATATGATAGTCTGGAAATTGAACAGAAGTCATTATGTTATGTTTTTGTCCGAGCTTATGTTAATGATTGAGCTCGTTGAAGATGGCAGACATTTCAAATCATTTCGATCAAAATATTTGTGGAAGTAAGGCCAAAAAAAATGTGGGTTTCTGTAAACTTTTTTATTGGATCATGCTTGTATGTGTTTCCATTTAGAGGAAAAAGTTTGTGGAAAATTGAAATTTGAGGCAATATTAGGGAAATTTATCTTTGGATGTGGAAGCACTGACTAAACAAAATGGCGTCCGGTGGTTAAGAAATTAAAAAAAAATGTTAACAAAAAAAGTTATAAGAAGAAACCGGAAACCCACATATTTTTTTTTTTGGCCTAAGCAAGATATGAAAAAAACGGTAAAAGAGTTTTATATATAGTCTTAAAAGTTCTTTCGAATGAGAAAATAAAAAATACATTGCCATTTCCCTTGAACACGGCTTTTCCTATTCGTTCTAGACGCTAAAAATTCACGACGACTCAGTGCGTTCAATGTGCGTCATCAATGGTGGTTACGTTGCTACGGGGCCTGGATCGAGGGATGGCAAGATAGCAATATGGCGATACGAAGAGGAAACCGATCAAGACCTGGGATTTGAAATGTTCAGCAGCGAAGAAGTACATTGTGCTGCAGAGCAGCATAAAAAAAGTGAACATGTAGAACATCTAAAGTTTCTAGGTATGCTAAAGTAAAAAAGACTGCGCGCCTGAAAAAGCGGAAAACTTTGCGCAGCTGGAGAAAAGAATCACAAATTTGGTTAATCTGTGTTTCCGAACTTAAGTTACTATAGACTCAATCGATCTACGGTTACTCTCGGGGAACTTAGCAATACATACAGTATTCTACACGCGTAAAAATCTCACACTTGTTGCAAGTCTGCCAACAAGCCGTCCACAAGTTGTGTTCGCATTGCTTGTCCCAAGTTGTCAACAAGTTTGGAACAAACTGTTAACAACTTGTAACAAACTTGTTGATATTTTGAGACTTGTTGCAAGGTTGTTCCAACAAGTCCGATACAGTCATGATGTAACAATATTGTTAAAACCTTGTGTCGTCAACCTTGTAACATTCTTGTTATGTCACGACTGTATATCAGACTTGTTAGAACAACCTTGTAACGAGTCTGATAATGCCATCAATCTTGCCTACAAGTTGTTAACAGCTTGTTCTAAACTTGTTACAACAACTGGGAACAAGCAGTGCGAACACAACTTGTCGACAGCTTTTGTAAAATTTTTAACAACATGCATGCAGACCTGTAGCAACTTGTGCGTTTTTACCATAGATATAGGAGATCTAGATTGCTAACGCATACCTAGCGCAGGTGGGGCCTACATGATAAATCCAAGATGGCGGTACAACAGGGCAAAAAGACTATAGATTCTATTACGAAAATCAGGATTTTTGCATTTTTTGCCGTGGCATTGTTTCGAAACTTATTCGGTCAAATTTTATGGTAAAGAGAAACTTACCGCGGAGATTTTGAGCATATATATGATTGAATTGGATGAAAAATCGCAAAATTATCCAGCGATAAAAGTTCGTGTGAAATGGTCAGTTGGAGCGTTTTATTGCCAGAAATACTGTGCTATGTTAACATCTAGCCTTGTGAATGGTGTTTTATACTTGCATCTCTCATCATCATCTGCTCTGTCCTCATAATATGTATGAAAAATGAACTGTTATGTACCCCCCCCCCCTTGCTTGTTAGAGAAGTAAACTGATGAGAGCACTGGATGAGGGTCTATCATCTATGGTCTGTTATAATTTGCTTTTTATGCAAATAGTGAGCAAAAATTAAAGCAAAACTGTACAAGTTACATATATAGTACTATATCAGTACTATACACGAACTTTTATCGCTGGATTATTCAATCATATATATGCTCAACATCTTCGCGGTAAGTTTCTCTTTACCATAAAATTTGACCGAATAAGTTTCAAACCAATGCGACAGCAAAAAATGCAAAAATCCTGATTTTCGTAATAGAATTTATAGTCTTTTTGCCCTGTTGTACCGCCATCTTGGATTTATCATGTAGGCCCGCCTGCGCTAGGTATGCGTTAGCAATCTAGATCTCCTATATCTATGGTTTTTACCATAGATATCTTATATACACTAGATAGAGCATCGCTTTTGGTAAAATTGAAGCCAAGAATATTCCAGCGGTTACCCCCATTTGAATAGATGGCGGCCATGTTGAAGTTTCCCACTCGCTAATAAACGCTTAAAAAACAACAATAACTTTCATCATTTGAATAGTTTGAAAATGTATTTGGAATAGGTTTAACTTAATGTTTAAGTTCCCTGTTTAAGAAATAGAAAACAGACGAGTCTTCTCATTTCATGGGAATATCCTGAGTCTGCAATCACGGCTTCAATTTTTGAATTGCAGAATAATTAGATGCACTATCTAGTGTATATAAGATATCTATGGTTTTTACGTGTGCAGTTTGAAACGTATAGTTACATGCAGAGCATAAAATAGTTTATAAACAGGAAATAAGGACAGTCATGAACTATATAGAAAATTGGATTTCTATTTTGTTAGGTCCTTTACTTTCAAATTATAGCTTAATGTCAGCTGTTTGTTTCGATCGGTACAAACATTTTAGTATAAAATGCATGATCCATATTATTTATTTGGGAAACTTTACAGGACAATTTGCACTTTAACAAATTATAACTATCTTAGAATTAAAATAATTTTACAAAATTAGATTTTACATGAAATAAAGATGTTCAATTTAATATTTTACGAAATGTTTGCAAATATATTCTAGGACATTAAAAGGCGTCGTTTGTTTTATAAGAGCATAGTAAATATTAGCTAAATTGGAATATAAACGAAACAGAAAATTAATGTTTGTTTAAGATATTTTGCCTAGGACTACAGGTGCAAGAGTTATGAATAGTGATATTACGCACGACAAAGACAGAGTACGCCCACCCTGTCGGAAAAAATGTTTCTGAAAGAAGATTTGCTTCAGATATGTTTCGCTCAGTAAAATTTTGAAATTAACCATTCCGTCCGAAAATCCATTACTTGAAGAAGAAGAATGGTTTATTATCAGTATTTCCATACAATGGCTCTTCACCTGATAAAACTATACTACTAGAATATCTATAAGGAAATAGTGAGAAATTTGTAAACCTATCGACCTAAGCATTACAATTAAATAGTATAAGACAGCGTTGCTTTAAAATGCTTGTCAAGAGAAGGCTCTATGATCTGTGCATGATTTGATATCAGCTGGTAGAGAATTAAATGATGAAACTGAACAATCTTGAAAGGTATTAGAAACTATAGAGGTAAAACTAAACTCATGACTTCGGCATTTGACCGTAAAACACGTGTGGATTTGTTATAGGTTACATTACAGCCTGAGTTAGTAGATGCTCCAAATACAGTAAAACTGAAAAATTGATAGCGTAGCGAAATAGTTCGCTACATTTTTTAAGCAGTAGCTGTAGTCAGTAGCGAACTATACCTTTGTTCAAAAGTAGTAGAAGTAGTTGTAGCTGATTACATATTTTTGAAGCAGCTGTAGTTATAGCGAACCACAAAAATTTTGTAGTCAACCCACCCTGAACAGCATACATTTCAGTTGTCTTTCATTGCCAAATCCGATCATTGTGACCAGTTGCTAAGTTCAGTTTACACTAAGAATGGTTTACACTATATCAAAGTGCAGTAGGAATTTTGCATGGGTAAATTCTAAGTTTTGAAAAATTTGTAAGAAATCTTTGAGAGAACTGACTCGATGTTGAACAGTGAATTTCTTAGGCCTGTTTCGAACGTCGCGCTTCTCATGTGCCGAACGCATTAAGGTCCGGACGCGATTCGACAACGCGACGCAATTTTTCGATTTTCACTGACCGATAACTTTGATTCTAGTTTCAATTTTCCAAATATTTAGAAGTGCGTTATAACATTTTGGGTTATTTGGTCTACATATCTTTTAAAATTTGCTCTCATTGGCTGTTTTATATTAACTTTCAAAAACTAAAAAATCGCGTCGCGTTGTCGAATCGCGTCCGGTGTGTCTGGACCTTTAGAAACAATAGATGAAGCATCTATATTGTTTTTAATGCGTTCGGCACATGAGAAGTGCGACGTTTGAAACAGGCTTAGAAATCCTTACTGTGATCGCAGATTGACAGAAACTTTGATAGAGTAAACCAGTCTTAATTCGGTCTAATATGCCCGGTTTAATGAATCTTATAGTTAGCTTAATTTAAACAGACGGAAGTCATCTGAAAATTGGTGTAACTGATTTTGGCGGCATTTTACAACATGGCGCTCGTGTGAGGAAGCAACAAACTTCATGTTTTGTCATATTATGTTGAAGATTACCACAAACAGATAGAAACAGTTTTTAATCCAGCCCCCCTTCGGCAATCGACCTCGGTGTTGATAAAAACCTCGCATGCTAACTTTTTAGCCTGTCCGGTGTGGGCATACACTCAGAGTAACATAAAAAACATTGAGTACATCACATCAAAACACACACACACACACAAAAATACTCTAAATAGTGTTTTGGATAACGATTCGAACAAGACTATTACGAAGAAGGGGCCGAAGTTATGTTCGGTATCCGCACGTGTGTGCCACTGGCTGCTGAGTTTTATCGAACGAGATGCCAACGTCAAAATCTCGATACACCCATAACGTATACATGACTTGTGGTTAGAGCTCGACAACTGGCCTCTGTAGCTCAGTTGGTTAGAGCGCTGCACCGGAATCGCAGGGCCCACAGTTGCATTTTTCGCAACTGTTAGGTATGATATATAACTTTCCGCTTGAAATTCCAATCTACATAAACCCTCCACTACTGGAAGTTCTATTGAGCGAGATGGCCAATAATCTCTAAATTCATTCATGCATGCAGTAACTCTGCGCAAACATGTTCCTACATGTTCTTATACAATACTCTTAAGGATATTGCTTTTTGAAATACAAGTGATCGACATGTAAACAGCCTAGTGTGCACTGTTCCAAAATGGCCAGGCTAAAAATTCCCTCAGTCACAGGGGAAAAACGTTATGTATATCTTTAATGAAGCTGAACAGGTCTTCCTTGGCATGGCAATGAGAGCATATGTTGCATGTCCTATAATTCATCAAATATATATTTACTCTCTTAACTTAATTCATAAATTTGCCTACACTTGTTTCAACAATAGACAGCTGATGCTTTGTGATATTAGCCTGGTCATTTTATTAATCTCCTTTGTTCAAATTACAATTTGTTTAACTAGAACGACTCAGTTACACTAAGCGCAATCGAGTGAAATTACCTATCAATGCAATTAATTTTGACAGACCTACGTTCAATTAATTTGCGCGGGTTGTGCGCCTAATAAAAGCGTCCATTTTAAGCGAAATTGCCATATACTCGGTGTCTTCCTATAACACTGGACTCGAAGACAGAGAGTTGATACTTTGGTTCGTGCGTCGAGTCCCAGAGTCGAATCAGTGAAAACCAGACGATGAAGTTGCTAATAGCCGTTTTAGAGACACTAATATCGTTATACTTTACAAATGGGTAAGTTGCTATACGTTTCTTTAAAACTATATCGAGAGTTGCCTTTTAAGAGGGGATGTTTTTGCGTTCAAAATTTTATTTTTCGAAACGTTCCTCGATCGGCAAACAAACTTAAAAAGTATGTTTAGTGCTTTGTCTGTAAAATAATGCTAAATGGTACGCCAAAGAGAAAATGATGTCTGAAATTCAGTAAGTTTTGCTGATATTGCTGTAAATATGGCGTTACCTTTAAAGCATCATTGATAATTTTAATTGCGATTTTTTACTATTATTTGATGTTTCTCAACCGCCAGAAACATTCAAAAAGGTTGCTAACTGTATAAACTAGAGAATAAAGCTAAAACAAAGGAATTTTGAGACAAACGGTTTTGAACACTAGAGAGTACTGACGATTCACGACGCGGCGCAGACCATCCTCGTCCCCAGGGCCTCTCGGCCGCGCGCGTCCTCCCTAGGCCCTGGGACACACGGGACCGGAAGTCCAAGAAAACTTGCAGTAGTTTCTAAAGCGCATGCTCTTGAATTGCGACGCTTTAGCACCCGTAGCAATTTTCACAGTGAAGT